ATATATATTTTAATTAAATTATTCTAATTAAAATATATTATATAATATGTTAATTTTTCGATTTCGATTATAAAATTAGTTTATGACGCCAACCAATCAGGAAGCTTCTATTCAAATTGTGCATATGTCGTTAGTCTCTTGTGGAAAGTTATCGTGATAGAAAGTGTTCGTGTCGGCTTCGTTAATTCTACTATGCAGTAAGTAATTTTATTCATATTTTGTTATTAAATTTATAAATTACTATCATTTTCGTTTATTTAATAATTTATTTATTATTGTAATGTCGAAATTATTTAGTGATTCGAGTTTTTTTGTTCTTTTTCTATTGATTTTTTACGACAAAATTGTTTCGATAGTTCGTTGAATCTAGATTTGAATTCACTTGTTGCTTTACATTAATATATATACTTTTTTTATACGCTTTTTTTATTTTACGCTTTGATTTTCATTTGAACAAATAATTGTTTGATCGTTGAAATAACTTTGAAATTAAATTGATTTATGGCATGTACGATATAGCATGTATGTACGATGATTTGCAATGGATGATTTTGATATTTTTCTTTTAATAAATTTATTTATTTTATATACTATTTTTGAAACAAAAGTACAAAACCAATTTTATTTTATTAAATTAAGTTGTCATGAATATACATGTGATATATATATATAATATTATATTTTTAAATGCATTTATTTGTAATGTAATGTTCATATAATTTTTTTTCTTTTTTTTATTCGAAACATTTTTTTATAACAATCCATTTCCAAGAAATTAGGAATTCGGATTCGTGTCATGCTCGATATGTTTCGACATGTTTCGACATGACATTTTTGAGTTGCCATATTTCTGTGCAGTTACTTTTCCCATTTTCGTGATTCGATAATCGAAATTGTGACATATCTTTACGATTTGTAATGAATTTAGAATTAATTTCATTCTTTCTTAAAATGTGAATTATTTGTTATATAGCACATAAATATTTTTTTCAATAGCTATTATTCATTCAATATCCGTTTATAATCGACAATCTTTCTAAATTCGTTTGTCATTATTCATTTATTCGACTGTTCTTGTTCCTCAAAAGAATATTTTAATTCATTATTTTTATATATTTTCTACTTATTTCAAATAATTAGTACTGTATTTAAATTATAATATTGTTTTTTTAAAGTTTTCTCATATTTAATGACTACTTCGCAATAACATTCCATGGATCATTGATGGAGATTCTTCGCATTTACTGGTGAGTCGCATGCATTTATGTTCCTCCGTTCAC